CCCCGTGTAACCCTAAACTTTTCATACGAAATATTTTTCTCTGTCCCTACTAGTTTTCGAGATATTTGACTGGATCACTTCAGATGGTCCACCCTGTATATGCATATTGTAGCAGTCTAACAAATATTTTAAATATTAGATTTCAAATGTATGATACATTTGAAATCTAATATTTAAAATATTTGTTAGACTGCTACAATATGCATATACTACACATAGAATTTTAAATGAGAATTTTTACACTCATTGTGTATTTTATCACAATTACAATTTTTATTGCATCTGTAAAAATATTTCGATAAAAAATGTTTCATACATTAATACTTATAAATATGTATAAATATGTATAAACATATATATACATAAATATTTATATAAACTCGTGTAATCATATATGAAATATGTCTATACATATTCATACATCCTTCTTTCTTTTCTAAAATAACTTTTTAGTGTAATAGAAATAACAATGTGAAAAAAAACATAAAAAATAATTAAAGGGATAATTTTTGCATTGTTTGTCAAAAAATCAAATTTGAAGAAATGTAAAAAAATTACTTATATATAATTATGTATAAAATTATGCATAATTGTGTATGAGCAATTTTTTTTACATTTTTCCAAACTTGTTTTTTTCTAAAATAAATAATGTAAACATTACTCTTATAATTATTTTTAATATTTTTTTACATTACTATTATTATTTCTCTATTATACTAAAAAGTAATTTTACAAAAGAAAGAAGGATGTATGAACATGTATGGACATATTTCACATAAAATTATTGTATGTTTATGAATATCTATGTATGTTTATATATATTTATGTATATATTTATTCAGTGTTGGAACGTATCTAGGTAAAAGTCTCTAGATACAGTATCTAGATACTTTAGCTGTACCTAAGTGCATTATCTAGATCCTTATAGGCGGAGATACTTGTATCCGTATCTAGTTATTTTTTGATATGGTATCCTTTAAGTTTTTTTTAGATACATAGATACAAGGTATTTATACACAAATACTATCGCCGTCATTAATAGCTCCTGCAGACAGAACGCGGCAACACTTGCCGTGCGGAAGTTGACGCGGTAGCCAATCAATGTCTCGCCAATCAATTGTTGATAATGTCAGCGTTCTTCAATTACCTCCGGGCCCTATCTGTGATAATTTGCTCAGATGCAATTTGCGAGAAACTCCAGAAACCTAGAAATTAAAAAGCACTGGAATTGAGTTTCTAGTTGAATATGTCACCATAATGGGACCGATCGCAAAGTCTTTAGATTTCCTGCAAAGTGAGGACATTTGCTATTAAGGCTACGTAATTCCTATCTTACTTCAAATTAAAAAAACTTTAAATTCACTAAGTCATCTAATTTACTGCACACCGCTCAAAAATGCTATTCTTGATGGTATACATACAAGATATAAGAATATTTTGGACCTAAACAACAATAAATCCAAACCCTACATTTTGGCAACGATTTCACATCCAAAATTTAAATTGAGATGGCTGAATAATAGCGATGATAAATACAACTTAGTAAAAACTTTATTTTTAGGCGAATGTGAAAAGTTGTACCGACGGGAAGTAAGCACAAATGAGGAGAAGAACTTTTTAACGAGTAGTGATGATGAAGATTTTTTTCATGATTTCATCAAGAATTCCAATACAAATAATTCAATAGAAAAGCAAAACGTATAAATGAAATGTTTACGCTACTTTGAAGATAAAAGTAAGAGTTGATTCGTTACTAAATTATAATTTAATTTAAAAAGTATTTAGACAATATAGTACTATTCTGCCGTCTTCAGCACCTGTTGAAAGACTGTTCAGTGCAGGTAGCCAAATTATAACTCCAAGAAGAAACCGATTGTCCGACACAATGTTTTAAACTTTATTAATGTTAAAAAAAACGAAATAGCGATGTACAACATTACAAAGTTATGTTTTGTACTCTATGTTTTTTTAAATATACATATATGTTCGAGATATTTTTTTATATATTAAGATAAACAAATAACGATAAAATGTGATATTTAATTTACGTTGCTTATTATTTACTCTCTCCTGGTTTCTTCCAATTTTTCTTTTCTTTTTTTTGTTGAAAGTACCTAAGAAGTATCTAAATTTTCGGATGCTTTTTATTTATATCTGTATCTATACTTAGGTAATTGTAAAATAATGTATCTATACTTATATCTAAATACTTTTCCCACACAATATCTATATCTATATCTAGATACCTTTCAAACGGTATCTGTTCCAACACCGAATTTATTTATATATATTTGGGTGGTTTCATATATGAAACCGTCCGTTGGCAATACATTGCGTTAAGTACACTATTTCTTCGAATTGAAAGATGACAATACACATGATGACAAATCTATAAAACGCCATAGGTGACATTTGTGCAACGCGTTAATATCATCTATTTTGATAGCTGATTGAAGTTTGGAACGTTTTTGGAGCGATTTTTTCAAAACAATTTCCCTCATTTCTCCTTTTGCACAGAGGTACCTCTGCATGCCAGACAACAAATAAAAAACACCCCGCTCGAATACATGGTCGGAAGGCACCTTTATGGGCGAAAAATCACCCTTAGACAGTATTGGATAGTAACTATTATAGTTAAAACGTTAAAAGTTGAAAAAAAAGTTATAAAATTAATAACTTTTAACTTAACTTAGTTAATTATAAGTGCATTAAATTTTAACTTAACTAAGTTACTTTTGAACGTTAACTTTTTAACTTTTTTTTTTAAGTTGAAAATTTTTTTATCTCTTTTAAATGCCTTAGAAAAATAATAAAATATAATAAGACTAAGGGCGTATAT